GCCGTGGGTACAAGAATTTGGGAGGGGAGAAGCACTACATAGGGAGAGTCACTAGGATACTATGGAAATCCAGGTGAAATTTCCAACTAGAACACTGCCTGTCATAAAGTAAGTGCCCAAGAAGTAATCACTGAGTGGTGTTTCAGTGTGAAGGAATGAAAATGGACTAATATGCAGTGACAAAGCCAAGAGAGAGTTTCAAAAAGGAAGCAGTAGTCCTGTAACAGAAAAGTAAGATGGTAACTTTAAGGGATTTAAGTGATAGAAAACAGCTTTAATGAGTTTAGTAAATGGAAAATGAGTTGGAGAAATTTATCATGAAGAATATGTAAAAATGAGACCACAGCAAGAGTGGGACAAAGGAAGGATCAGGGCGAGTGGTTGGGAAGGTTGATTGTAGACTAAAGAAAACAGATCAAAGATACAAGTCGCCAGAAAAAGGAAGGAATGAGATCAAAGACATGGATTCAGCTTGATAAAGATGAAAGTTTGCTGATAATACTGTTAGTTTAAAAAAAAAATGGGGAAATGGGGACTCAAGACATTTCTGGTGGAAAAATAAATTAGAACCTCTGGAGAGAGCAATTTGGTACTTTCTATTAAAATCATGATGCATTTAACCTTTTTGCCCTAATAATTCCATCCTTAGGAATTTATCCAACAAATGGGAACATACATAAGCTGACAAATTGTTACCTCTGTTGAAAATAGATTAGACACAAGTCATGAGTAGAAGACTAGTTAACTTATCATAGTCCATATAGGTAGAATACTATACACCCATTAAAAGGGGATCAGGAAGGTTTGTTGTAAACCAACGTGGAAAAAATTCTAAGATAAAAGGTACAGAATAGTTTTTAGTATGCTTCCATTTTTTTAAACAAATTGAAAAATTAATGTGCCCATATTTGCTTGGGATATAGAGTATAACAGAAGCAGCTACACCTGCATGTTCTCTGCACATAATCTATGATCCAGTTTTTGGAGGCTCTTCTGTACTTCTTCCTATGTGCTATTTTATACAAGCATATGGTTGATTTTTATACAGAGGTAAAAATGCACTCAAGTACATTCTTAGACAAAGATTGTTACTTAAATGTCACATGGATGAGTCACATTATAAAGCTAGCTCTAGAGAACAGGGCTGCTACCTCCTGAACTACTGTAGTTTTTAACCTGTTGTCTTTTCCCATTTCTGACCATCCTAACCATGTGGCAAAGCTTCCACCAGGGGCCACTGGCAGGTCACCATCTCTATATTTGTGTCCATGCTACTCCACCCTTTTTCAGAGCCCAAATAGCTTCCACCTACTCTAGCTGCCACTAGCAGCCATTCTTTCTCTCATCAACTGAATGTGTGCAAGCACTTGTCCCAAGCTCTGGGAATGAGAAGTTGAGTAAGACTAAAATCCTGTTTCAACGATTCTCCCAGCCCTCATGTCAAAATTACAGTCACATCACTTCTTCCTTCTCCCGTCCCTAAACAAGTATGTATCTCATGACTAGAATTAATGGCTTATTACTCCAGAGGAAGGGTGAAATTATACAGGTATCAGAATAAGCTTTTTATATTTTGGGACAAATTTATGAATCACCTAGTAAAAGTACTCAGACTGTAGCAGGAGTCCATAAATCTTATCTTTCTTCACTAATCCAACTTAAGATTTTCTTCTGAGTGCATTGTCTAAATTGAACCCATTTCTTTTTATTTAAGGGGTGGGGGGCTGGGTCTTCTGTGAGGCCCTGTAGGAAAAGGACCATGGTTGCCATGTGGGTAATTAGGCTTAAGGAGCCTTATTTATTTATTACCTATTGGTAATATGGTCTTTTCCTTAGCTAGGCATGAGGATACAAAGACAAACAAACCAGACATTGTACCTGTCCTCATGAATCGAATTCCAGAGAGGGAGACATTCACTTATGCTTTAGTAAGCCGTGTTCCAAAGTGTCTAATCTCCAACTGGTGTCCTGGGGACATCGGGTAGTGTGGTGGAAGAACTGATAGCTGGTAGGCTTGGATCTGAATGCCGACTATAGTGCTTGTGCAACTGCAAAACTCATAACCACACTGAGTTTGTTTCCTTAACTGTGAAGTAGGATTAAAATGCCTTCTTCAACAAGGGACCTAGCACAGTGCCCTGCTCTTGGACAGCATCACTGCTTCCTCCCCTACAACCATATAGTATTGCCAACTTCAATCCTCCACTCCCATCTCTGAAGAAAAAAATCATATGCTAAATTGTAGAAGTCTGCTCTCTCTTCCACAAGTTATTTCAAGAACATGGAGAAGTCCTCCCTGACTTCAGACTATACTACAAAGCTACAGTAATCAAAACAGTATGGTACTGGCATAAAAAACAGACACATAGATCAATGGAATCAAATATTCCAGAAATTAACCCACACACTTATGATCAATTAATCTATGACAAAGGAGGCAAGAATACACAATGGAGAAAAGCCAGTCTCTTCAATAAGTGATGCTGGGAAAACTGGACAGCTATCTGTAAAAGATTGAAATTAGAACATTCTCTAACACCATATACAAAAATAAAACTCAAAATGGACTTAAATGTAAGACCAGATGCTATAAAACTAGAGGAAAACACAGAACACTTTCAGACATAAATCACAGCAATATATTTTTTGAACCAGCTCCTGGAGTAATGGAAATAAAAGCAAAATAAACAAATGGGGTATAATTAAACTTAAAAAGCTTTTTGCACAGCCCAGGATACCATCAACAAAATGGAAAGACAACCCATAGAATGGGAGAAAATATTTGTAAATGATGCGACTGACAAGGGACTACTTTCCAAAATATACAAACAGCTCGTACACCTTAATACTAAAACAAAACAAAACAAAACGCAACCCAATCCAAAAATGGGCAGAAGACCTAAACAAGCAATTTCCCAGTGAAGACAAATGGCCAATAGGCACATGAAAAAATGCTCAGCATCTCTATTGTCAGAGACATGCACGCAAACCAAAACTGTGAGATACCACCTCACACCAGCCAGAATGGCCATCATTAAAAAGTTTACAAATGATTAATGCTGAAGAGGGTGTGGAGACAGGGAACCCTCCCTCACTGTGGGTGGGAATGTAAATTGGTGCAGCCGCTATGGAGGATGGTGTGGAGGTTCATTAAAATACTAAAAACAGACTTACCATGTGATCCAGTAATCCCACTCCTGGGCATATACCTGGAGAAAATTGTAATTCAAAAAGACATATGCACCCCAATTTCATAGCAGCACTATTTGCAATAGCCAACACATGGAAAACAACCCAAATGACCATCAACAGATGACTGGATAAAGACAATGTGGTATATATCTTGAAAAAAAAAAAGCTTCACTGATATCAATTAAATCATAATTTTTGCTATTTTTAAAAGCTCTCTGGGAAATTCCAATGTGTAGCCAGGGTTGAGAATAACTGCTATAGAAGATACAAAAGCTCAAGAAACTTATAACCTAGTGGGTTTAAAGCAGGTATCACAAACTCATAAACCCACGGGGTCAGCAGTTAAATGAGCTATGCAGCTGAGTATTATACCAACCTAGGAAGACAGAATAAAGAGAAGATACTAGTCTTCCAAAAAGAAAAAACATACAACCAAAAAAAAAAAGAAAGACAGAAAAATGAAAAAACAACTTACAAATGTGCAGGCATCAGAATGGCATTGACTTTTCCTAGAAGACAACAGTGCAATACATTCAAATTCTGAGGGGAAATAATCTCCAACCTAGAATTCTTCATGAGTCACAGTAGGATATAGAAATAAAGAGATTTTCAGACCTCTATTTTTCAAACAATTCACTTTTGGGGCACCCTTTCTCAGGAAGTGGAGGAAGTGCTCCACTAAAATGAACGAATAATGAAGGAATAATCCAAGAAAGAGGAAAACATGGGATATTGGAAACAGGAAATGCAACAGTGGATTTGAGCTGGGTAAACTATCTGTTCTGGCTGATTTACATACGTGTGGACAGTTCTGAACCAGTTTAGAGATACCCAAGTGTGTTGCCGTCAATGACAGTTATCACGAAAGTTTGTTCTTAAATAATTGAATCAATCTGACATCTTGAACTAAATCCTTCATACTTAACAGAGGAGTTAGAAGCTTACTCTGCTCCCCTCTACAGCGAAACCCCTCAAGAGCTCTATTTACCTTTCGTCTCTCTTTACTCTGTTTTTTGTTTTGATACTAAAATTTATTACATAGCTTCAGAATTTATGCTTCTCCAGAGAGACAGAGTAGCATAATTTCCCTATTCCTCCTCCTAAGTACAACTAAAAGCCCTAGAAAAAAAATATAAAACAAACATAAGGAGGCTCTGACAAATGGCCAAGGGACCGCAAAACCCAAGGAACCCAATATTCCAACACTGTATGTTCCTTGGTTCCATTCTTGTCATGTGTATCCCAGACCTGGGGCTGAAGAAGCCAGCAACCTGGAAATGCCAACAGGCACAGACAAAAAAAGCCTGCTCTCTGTAGCCAAAGGACCCAGAAAGGGGCAGCCTAGCAAGACAGAAACTGAAAGGCGACCACCACTCCACTCCAGCCAGACACCATCATACAGGGCCCAGTGGTGGTGGTCACAAAAAGACCTGTCCAAACCAGAACTTGTGACAGTGACCTTATTTGGGAAAGGGGTCTTTGCAGGTATAAAGATATTGAGATGAGATCATCCTGAATTATCTGGGTGGGTTCTAAATCCAAGATAAGTGTCCTTGTAAGAGATGGAAGGAGAGGCAGAGACTGGAGTTAGGCAGCAGGTCAAGGAACGCCTGGGGCTACCAGAAGCTGGCAAAGGGCGAGGAAGAATTCTCCCTTAGACCCTTTGGAGGGAGTACAGTCTTGCCAACATACACATGTTATGCATGAATATATAACTTATTCATTATTTATATATGGATCCTTCCACTTAAAAGTCAAGATTAAATCGGGATTAATCAAATCTTATGAAAGAAAAAATACACACATATAACTTTAAGGTTTTTATTTTGTTTCAGACAGCTGGATGAAGCAGCTACATTCTAGCACATCTTCTTAACAATCACTAAACAAGTGAAAAACAGCTCACTTATTATATATAAAAAGGCAAGGAAAAAAGTCATGATTGTCTAACAGGGAATCTGAATTCCCAAATAAATTATCTTACAAAAATATCAAACTTGCTTTTCCACTATTCTATGTTAAAAAAAGAAAAAATTCACATTCAAGAAAAAGATCTTAGGCTGGTAATATAGCAAGTTAAGATAATCATTTTCACATACTAAGTAAGTTCTTCAAATAAATATTTTAAACCAATTTAAGTCTTCTAAAACATAGGTCAAGTATTTACCCTGTATTTGTTTGCTCCACTGAAAGACCATTTATGAAACCGACAGGAAAATGGGACTGCAGCTGAGACCCCCTGGGGAGCAACACACACGTCACCGAGGCTGGACATGCACCTGGGACGTGGCTAATGCTGCTGTGCATACTACTTTCACGAGCAGTCTTCCCCTGTGCCAGTCCTCTAGCCTGTCATCAAACTGCAAGGAAAGAACAAAACAAAGTACTTTGCCTCTTGTAGACACTTGCTCAGTTGTTTTTAAAAATGCAAAAATGCTCGTGCTTTTGGGACTTAAAGATTCCTGAACATGAGATAAAATTCAATACTGCTTACAAATCCCTGAATACGGAGGACACTCGTGTGGAGAACACACCAGTGAGTGCATATTACAACGTACATGGCAGCCACGTTCTGCCGGCTCTAGTCCCGCTGTTTTATTTTACAGTCTTACTTGGCACTGGAACTTTAAAAGATGGAGATTTAATAAAATAATGTTATGTTACATTTTTCTGTTCTTATAACCAACTTTAAAAAGAAGTACAGTGGAAGGGCATAGGGCTTTTTGTCTGTATCTCCTTTAAGAGTCAATTTGATCTTTACAATGTGATACTCTGATTAACACTATGCTGAAAAATAAAATGGACTGCAATATGGTTTGTCCACAGTATTCAAGCCTCTTATTGTGAAAATATTTCAAAATAAATCCAGTAAACAATTTCTGTCTCCAATGGCTTAACTGAGAGATGAATCTAACCATTTTTTTAAATCAGCAACAATTAAACTGGGCTGAGAACAGCTACATGACACCCCTGCACCCAAAGCCAGTCATCTGGAAATCTAGAACACCAGCACTTTCCACCCAGGATAGAAAAACGAGCATCCGAAGTAAAGGGAACCACAAGACTGATCGAGCGACCAATCAAACACCACTTCTCTGTTACTCGAACTAATCGTTACTCGAAGCTTGAAGTTTCCGCCTTCGTTATTATTGGTGGCTCCTAGAGTCACAGCTTCAATGTCAAATGTGACAGTGGACCCAGAAGTAACTGCGGGCAACTGATTAGTCATTTCTTTTCCATTTACAAAAACTGCACCTAAAATGTTAAGGTAAAGAGTCACTTAACATGTGAGCAATAGCCAAGAATGGAAACAAGATTCAAGATTATTGTGGTAACACAACTAATTTCCTAATTCAGATAAAGAAAACATTTTGGAATACCAATGGGTCGCAGATAATGCAGTTAAATATGTTAATTAACCCCCACCCCAAGGCAGGAGAAAAAAGTTAAAGCTTTAAAACATTTTAGAGTTCTGGTCCAGGGTTGCATTCCACTCTTTTAGAATAGATACCATGAGTCTCCCACATGGATGGCGTCAAAAAAAACTTGACTCCATTACAAAAGCATACCCTGTGGGGGGCAGGGTATATAGCTCAAGCGGTAGAGCGCATGCTTAGCATGCACGAGGTTCTAGGTTCAATCCCCTGTACCTCCTCCAAACATAAATAAGTGAATCAACCTAATTACCCGCCTCATAACACCCCGCGGAACAGCAATCTTGCCCTGCCTACTGCTGACCCACGGCATAAAACAGGAACACATCTTGGTAATGACTTTTTAAAGTGTGATTACTGCAGAGTAAGAGACCAAAGCACGCTCCAGACATACATCAAGTTAAGTAAACCCTCAACCAAGTTCCCTGATCGATGCTGAATTTATGTTCTCCAGTCCATGCTGACTTCAGATGACCTGGGCACACAGAATCCAAGGGCAAACTGCTGGGTGGAAAACCCAGCTCCATCACCTCCAAACTGCGTGAGTTGGAGCCAGCTACTTCATCTCCCTGCGGCTCAGTTTTCACCAGCTATCAAATGGATCTAACACCACTACTCCCTTCAAAAAGTCGTTAAAAGGACTGAACAACGTATTATTTTAAAGGATTCAGAATAATGTCTGATATATAGTAGCCACACGGATATGCCAGTAAGACCTAAACTTTTTCATCTTCTGCTGTAAATGCGTGATACTGAGACTGATTCAAACCTCCCTACGGTCACTCATATACATCAAAGAGAAAGGCAGTTATTTCTCTCTTACCGTTTGTACTAATGCACACGGCTTGATCCCGCTGCAGAGAGTCATATCCATTCTGTTTTTCTGCACACACGCCTATACTGTCTCTTCTGTCTGGTTGTCCCACAGTTTCAACTCTGTCCATAAAGTAGAAAGGTCATTTAATCTCTTCTCTGTTTTTAGCCTGATATCTAACAGTTAAGAAGCTTAAAAAGAGCAATCTCATCACAGCTGCTCTTAAGAATGGCTAACACTGATTCAGCACTTCCTAAATTCGGGATACTGTTCTAAAACTTTACATCTACTTATCTGTCTAGTTATGAATCATCTCATTCAATTCACATAGCAACCCATGAGGTAGGGGCTATTGTTTTCATACCCATTTTACACAGGAGGAAACTGAGGCACAAAGGAAAGACAAAACAAAGAAAAGGCAAAATAAATTGAAGCTGAGCACCTGGCTGAGCGGAACTAGGAAGGAACTCAGGCCCTCTGACAGCAGAGTCCGTGTCAACTGTTCACAGCAATGACAGCGCATTATTATTTTATGTTCTGGCCCCATCATGTAGAAAACTTGTCACATTTGCCATTATAATGAATGTGACCAATGGTGCCATCACCTAAACCTTCAATATGAGAGTCTATGCAATGATTAGATTCCTGTTTGTCAAGAATTTAAAAACAGATATTATCCTTTTTTTAAAAAAGAGATTATGGATGTATTTTGGTTGGAGAAGTTCATATGTAGAAAGTTTAAGCATTTCCTTTCATGTTTCAGTCTCAATACATCATCAGGTACTCCAGAAATAGGAAACTTAGATATAGAGGTCAATCTATATCCCTATTACCAAGGTCATCTTTCCCTCCATTCTAGAAAGCCAGACAGAAGAACAAAAATCAGCAAGGACAGAAAAAGAAAACTTAGCAAGCAGCAGCATGTAGCTTCACCAAGGAAAGATGTGATTATTTACACTCAACGTGGCCTCAAAATGTCTTCTGTAGTAAAGGGGCAAACGTTGCAGGTTCATAATAAACACGTGGATGGGTTTTTTAAGTCATTTCACTTCGAACTCAGCAATATAAAGAAGTATGGGTGGGGGATTAAGAGGTACAAACAATTATGTACAGAATAAGCTACACGGATATATTGTACAACACGAGGAATCTAGTCAATATTTTATAATAACTATAAATGGAGCGTAATCTTTAGAAATTGTGAATCACTATATAGTACACCTGTAATTCATATACTATTGTACACTATCCTTCAATTTAAAAAAATACCGTAAAAAAACAATAGATGATATTCATAGACAAGAGAAGAAAAAAAGATTAAGCATAGGGAGGAGGTGACAGCAGCCACAAAACAGAACAGTAAGTCCCAGGACACGTTCTACCACAGAAATACCATTTTTAAAATGTTACACAGACCAAAATACCTTTATGAGATTTCCAGAATCCAGTTTAAAAATTCCAAAGGGAAAAAAAAAAGTTCCAAAGGAACACAAAGCTAAAAACAGCTGCACTGAAACAAATGAGCAGAGTAATTTCACTTTCCCCACGTCAGCCCCTGTCCCAGGCTACCGCAGCTAAACGCCAGGCAAGAACACCCAGCTCCCGACTTCTCCTTCAGGAAGGAGACACAGGAGCGGAGTGTGCAGCAAGCATTCCAGCTCTCTGGAGGGCTGCCCGAAGGACTGGTTTCTGTCATGCCTCATTTGGAGCCCTGACGGACCTGGCACAGTATGGCTGCCTGAGTGCTGCTTAGACCAAAGAAGAGTGAGGAGTAGCATCCTGCAGCCGGTGCAGCTTGGCACAGAATAGAGAGAGAAGAGGAAAACATGTTCAGGTGTGCCGGCTCTTCATAGGGCTGCTCAGAAGAATGGTATCTGTCTCACCTGATGCAGAGCCAACATACTCTGGCCCCTGAGAACGACAGAGCAAGGCAGCTTGCGGCTGTAGTACCGGAGAATGTGCAGTGCCAAAACAGACAGCAGAGGGCGCAAGAGATCACAAGCTCTTGTGAAAAATCAGCGAGGCTCTCAGAAATTGTACACACAAGCCCAGGAAGGTCACATTCCTCTCCAGAACAGTTCCGAGTCCCCCGCCCCGCATGCCATCTTTAGCTGAGCTCATCTGTGAGGATCTTATTCTCTATGAAGCTAGGCTATAAAGACTTGGAGAGGTGGCAGGTTTTGGGGTTTTTTTTTTCATATTTGCAGATTCCAACACAAAATTATGAAACTTAAAAAATAGGCAAATTTGGCCCAGAAAAAAAATAGAAGAGATCTTCATTAAAGTATCCTAATGAAATGGAGATATGTATATGAATCATCTGACAAACAATTCAAATAAACCATCATAAAGATGGTCTCCAGGCTCAAGAAAAGGAGGCATGAAAAAACAAGTTTCTTCTGTAGAGCACAGGGAACTATATTCAATAACTTATAATAACCTTTAATGAAAATGAATATATGTATATATATGCATGACTGGGACACTGTGCTGTACACCAGAAACTGACACATTGTAGCTGACTGTACTTCAATTTAAAAAAAAAGAAAGAAAGAAAAGGAAGCGTGAAAAAAATTAGAATACCAACAACGAAAATTTTTTAAATAACTAAAGAGAAATTTTAGAACTCAAGAGTACAATAAATGAATTGAAAAATTCATGAGAGGGATTCAGTATCACACTTAATGAAGCAGAAGAAAGAAACATCAAACTTGAAACTCAATTGTTCAAAATAACCCAATTAGAAGAATAAAATAATTTTCAAGAGTGAAAAGAGTCTAAAAGAGTTACAGAAGAAGAGATCAAGGGTTTAAAGAAATAATGGGTGAAATTTTCCCAAAATGGGGGATGGAAATGGGCATTCAGATTCAAGAAACTCCAAACAGGATGAACCCAAAAAATCACACTGAAACACATTATAATTAAATTGTCAAGTCAGAGACTCTTCACAAATGCCAGTATCGTAAAAGTTAAAAGATACAGGGAAAAGGTATCAGATTAAGAGAGACTAAGAGACACAGGAACTGAATATAACACATAAACTAAGTTTTTTTTTCTGTAAAGAACATTAATTGGAACAACTAAATCTGATAAGGTCTGTAGGTTAGATAATAGTACATTAATGCTAATTTTCTGATTTTGAAAATCTGTTTTTATGAAATGCTCACTGAAAATTATTTGGAAAAAAATAGAAAATGATGAAACAAAAATAGTACTGGGAAATCTGTGTGAAGAGTACTTGGAAATTCTTTGTACTATTCTTGCAATTCTTCCCTAAGTCTGAAATTACGTTTATAAAGATTTTAAAAACACACAAAATACTTGAAGGATAAATATACATATATATATAGAGAGAGAGACAGAGACAGAGAGACATGGGAAACACAAGATAACCTGAATTTTAACCTTCATATTCCTAATATTTTGTTTCTCTAAAAAGTAAAAACATGCTAATAGTATTAATTCTACATGGAGGACAGCAGTTACTTCCTTCACTGTTGTGTAATAAAGAATTTGGTTTGCCTTGATCCTGGGAGGTAACCTCTAAACCAGGAGTGTCTCTGTTACTCATGCTGGGCCCCTCAGCGCACACCTGATAGTTTACGCTCATGAGGTGCTCATGGTGGGCCCCTAGATAGCTTATGCTGACAAGACGACTCAGTACGGCAGCAGGTTGCCCTGGAAAGAACAGTTATGTGACTAGAGGGTTGAGGCTTTCAGCCCAGTCTCCTAGGAGGGTCAGGGAGGTGTGTATTGAGTCAGATGGGGACGAGTTAATCAACCGTGTCTCCATAACAAAACCTCAATAAAAACTCTGGACACCAAAGCTTGAGTGAGCATTCCCAGTTTGCAATACTCTTTTGAGTGCTGCCCTGCCAAAAGGCCGTGCGTCCCGGAGACGTATGCTTTGAGTCTGGAATCCTCCTAGACCTCGCCCTACGAGTCCCTCCCTTTGGCAGGTTCTGATTTGTATTCTTTTGCTATAATGAAACTGTAATCATTAGTGATGTGTTTTCCTAAGTTCTGTGACTCATCCTAGCAAATTATAAAACCTGAGGGTGGGTCATGGGAACCCCAGAATTTGTAACCATCTATGCAGTTAGAAGTGAGGGTGGGCCCTGGAGACCCCAGGAACTTGCAGCTGGTATCTGAAATGAGGGCAGTCTTTTGCAGCACTCTGCTCTTGACCTTGAGTTTGACCAGCTCATTGCTAGTGTACATTTTTGTCCATAATTAAACTTTGTACATGAATAATTAATTCAAATAAAATTTCCTGAAATTAACTAAAAGTTAAAACTCAAGGAGTAAGAAAAAAAAATCCTGGGGTGAAGGAAAGAAACTCCTTATTTGAATAAATCACAAAATTGTTCCTAAAAGCAGCCTGCATGAAAACAGCATTGAATAAAGAATATATATGTGTAACTGAATCACTTTGCTGTACACCAGAAACTAATACAACACTGTAAATCAACTACACTTCAATTAAAAAAAATGTACAGTAATCAAAACACAAAAACAGACACACAGATCGATGGAACAGGATAGAGAGCCCAGAAATAAACCCATGTACTTGTGGTCAATTAACCTACAACAAAGCAGTCAAAAACATACAGTGGAAAAAAGCCAATCTCTTCAATTAAGTGGTGCTGGGAAGACTGGATGGCTACATGTAAAAGAGTGAAATAAGAACAATCTCTAACACCATACACAAAAATAAGCACAAAATGGATTAAAGACTTAAATATAAGACCAGATACTATAAAACTCCTAGAGGAAAACACGGGCAGAGTACTCTTTGACATAAATCACAGCAGTATTTTTTTTTGGATCTGCCATGATTTACTGCCTAGTTGTGTCTTAGGAAGCCTTGACACCTAATTTGGAATTTGAGTTTTCTGTCTTTCTTAGTTTCGTTGAAAAAGCACTCACCCCCCACAACCTTATTTCTTCAAAAAGTTTACAGAGGAGGAAAAATTCAGGACCAAAGTGCATCTACTGGTTCCCCACGTTCCCATCTCTCTTTTGAACTGACTCTAATCAAGCTTTCACCTCCACAGCTCCCCTGGAACTTCATGTCAGGGCCACCAATCAACATCCAAGCGGCAAACCCAAAGGTCAACTC